GTCCATCCGCAGAGCTGGGACGGGAGCACTCAGGGCTTGGCTGGGGGTTTCCTTCCTTCCTTTGTTCCCTGTGAGCAGCTGTCAGTGGTCCCAGTGCTGCTTCATGAAGTTTCACTGCCAGAGTGGGGACACTCCCTGTGCCTTTCGCTTTCGATTATGGGAAAGGGAGTGGGACAGCCTGAAGGAGCTGACAAAGGGAGGAGGGGAGAGTTAGGGAAGGCAGCGGGGTGATTGTGAGCACACTGCGCTGTGCCCCCTCCTGTGCCCCCGCGCTGTTGCTGAGCAGTGCTGCACAGAGCTGAGGATGTTTCAGACTTCAGCATCCACTGCTGTCACACCATTGGGGGACTGGGAGCATAAGGAGCAGGGAGGAGACAAAAGTGGGGCAGCAAACCTCATCTGGCCAAAGGGACATCCTATAGCTTATGATACCATGAGGAAAAAGCTGGACGAGCACGAGAAGCAGTCACTGTGCCTGCAGCCGGACGCCTGGCTCTGATTCAGTGACTTTAATTCCTTCTCCAGTGCCTGAGAGTTTTGGTCAGGCAGGAACAGCTCAACTGCAAACCCTGGGTGTTGACTAACCAGGTGGCCCTTGCTAAACGTGTGTCCCAGTGTCTGAACGTCCCAATACCTGTTGCTCTTGGTTTATTCTGTTGCTCTTGGTCTATTCTGTAGCAGCTGCTGGTATTTGAATCTCCCACAGTCCTGAATGATAAGGGGTGTGATGGCCCCACTCACAGCCACGTACTTTGGCCCAGGGATTGATGAGATTGTTTCAGAAATGAATGCCATTGCAAGCTTCAGCTCTTTCTAGGGATCCATGTCACCACCAGACTTGCATTTCAAGGCCCAGGATAGTGTCCTGGTTGGCGTTATGTGTAGACTAAAGCAAGAATGACTGTTTAAAGGGTATTTCCTGATGATGTGCACGCGGCCATTTGCAACAAGTCAGCAGCGACAGATATTCTGAGAGGTCCTAGATGTAATTATAAATAACCCATGGGATGTGGCCAGGGTTACTATAAAAAGGCAGAGCAGCTGCGTTCGTGTGTCACGGGGCGCACGCAGTGTGGGGCTGAAGCTCAGGGGTGGTGGGGCTGTGCTGGGGGAATCAGTGTGTGTGCAGATGGGCACCTGGGTCCTTCTGCACATGGAGCATGTCCTCCTGGGCTGGGTGGTGCTGCTCGGCGCCTTGGCCAGCGTGTTGGCCACCAGCAGCAAGAGAGACCTGGGCCCAGTCAAGGAGGTGGCGATGGACATGGCCAACACCACCTTTGATGACCAGTACCAGGGCTGCAGACGCATGATGGAGGATGAGCTGGAGGAGCTGAACCGCACCGAGTTCACCAACGAGGTCTATGCTGAGGGCTGGAGAAATGCTGCCATGGAGTGGCGAAATCGATGGGGTCGTGCCGACCACCCACCGGCACTGAGACGGGATCAGGCCACAGCCATGCTGGCGTACACGATGGAGGGGAAACTGTACCACCAGTTCAACACAGCCACGAGGGAGGACGGCATCTCCCGGCAGCACTACCTGCGCTCCTTCCCCTTCAAGACTCTGCATTTCCTCCTGAGCAGAGCCCTGCAGACCCTGCGGGAATCCCAGCCCCAGCGATGCCACCACGTCTACCGTGGTGTCAAGGGCACCCGATTCACGGCACAGCAGGGCAGGGTGGTTCGCTTCGGCCAGTTCACCTCCTCCTCCTTGCGGAAGAAGGTCGCTGAATCTTTTGGCCAAGACACCTTCTTCTCGGTGGAGACCTGCTACGGTGTGCCCATCAAGGAATTCTCCACTTTCCCCGGTGAGGATGAAGTCCTCATCCCACCCTTTGAGCAATTCAGGGTCACCAACATCACCTACAACGAGGGCAGAACCTCCATCCAGCTCCGCTCCCAGGGGATGAACAGCACCTACAACTGCGAGTTCGTGAAGGGTAAGGGCTGCAGCGCTCCAGAAGGGGGAGCTTGGGTGAATTGGGCACAGTGAGGACCGGGGCTGTGGGGAGGCTGTGCAGGCTGTGGTCGTGGGGAGGTGGGGAGCTCG